ACGGCAGAAATCGAGTGTTCAGACAGGTCTAAGCCAGTCTTTTTCCTCTGTCTTCCCACAGTCCCTATATTATTGGTACCACTAATCAACCGGTAAAAATGACACCCAATCACGGCTTGCACCTGAGCTTCAGGTAAGATCTGTGGCCCTGAATGGACCTCCAGATGCCCCCAAGTCTGTAAACCAGTTCAGTCCGGGATCTGGCCAGAGGGACAGCAGAAGGAAAGAGAAGTAGCAGCGCCCTGTGGGCTGGGAGAGGAGGTGTGTGCCGTGTCGGTGCAGGGGGAGAAGGGCCCTTGATGCAGGAAGAGGTGCAGCCTCTGCCCACACACCCCTCATCCAGGCCAGTGGGGGCTGATGGTTTTCTGAGGGGGTCACTGATCTGAGCGCCAGCTCCGCCTCAGTGGGAGGCAGGCAGCTTGGGTGGGGTGGGAGCGAAGTCGACATGCCCCCGTGCAGTGCCCCCCCAACCGTCTGTATCCCTGGCCACAGGATGCTAACCTTCTCCAACAACGTGGAGCCTGCCAACGGCTTCCTGGTTCGCTACCTGCGGAGGAAGCTGGTGGAATCAGACAGCGACATCAACGCCAACAGGGAGGAGCTGCTGCGGGTGCTGGACTGGGTGCCCAGGCTGTGGTACCACCTGCACACCTTCCTGGAGAAGCACAGCACCTCTGACTTCCTCATCGGTACGGCCCGCGCCCCGCCCGTGCGGGGATGGGGGGTCCCCTTCCCTCCCGCGTCTTCAGCGTGCGCAGGACTTCTGACCCTGTGCCTGCAGCCTCGAACTGCAGGACACTGGGTGAGCTCCCAGTGTGATCCCCCTGCCTGCGTCAGCTGTCGGGGTGCTGACCTCCCCCGCACTGCCCAGAAGCACTGAGAGGCCTCAGGGGAGGTGTTAGGGGAGCTTAAAGCTGCCTCTGGCTCCCCCACCTCCCGTCTACCTGGAGAAGCATCATTTCTGAGGCTGCGTCAGGCTGTCAGCTCCCGCTGTCTTGACCACGATCTCAGTTAAGCCCAGCCCTGTGCTTCTCTCACCCTTTGGTTCCAAGGCCCTCTGCCTGGTATTAGGGAGTCAGTGGGGCAGATGGCCAGGGAGAGTGAGGTTCTCGGCCATCTTCACGGCCCTCTTCTCTTGCCAGGTCCCTGCTTCTTTCTGTCCTGCCCCATCGGCATTGAGGATTTCCGGACCTGGTTCATTGATCTGTGGAACAATTCCATCATCCCCTACCTACAGGAAGGGGCCAAGGACGGCATCAAGGTGAGCCCGCCCTGGATTCTGCTCAACCGAGGCCAGGTTGGCCCACGTCACAGAGTGGAGACAGCGTCAGACACGTGGCCACTGAGATTTTTAGGATCTCCTCCTAACAGGCCCAGCGAGGCACTACACAGATCATGCTGCCTTCCTGCTTATGGCCAGCGTCCAGCAAACAGCTAAACGACCAGTGACCTGGGGCTGTGTGTCCAGTCCTAGGCCTCTGACTCTCCTCCAAACTCAAACTACTCCCTAGGGATTTGGGCAGATAAACAACTGAGTTAAGAATTAAGTAAAATCCTATTATAGCTTTAGCTCATTACTAATTATTAATAAAAATGTTATTCTGGTCAAGTTACTTAACCTTTTTAAACTCCTCATATGTAAGAAAGGAGATAGTATAAATTTGCTCTGTTTTGAAGGCAAATGAAATGTGTGAAAACATTTGTAAAAGTTAGAATAAGAACTTTGTACAAAAGGCAGCTGTCACTTTTAGAAACCTCCTCAGTTTTCTCACCGTAAATTAGGGCATGCTCACCACTGGTCTGCTAGCCGGTGATGTGGAGCCTGGACCGGTGGTCATGTTTTATCCATGAGTCATGTGTCGGCATGACACACACCGTCTGATGATGTGGGAGGTTTCCAGAGGCGCAGTGTGTCATCGTTTTAACTTTGATTATTAACAGTTTTCTAATTTAAACCATTTTCACACAGATATCTCCTTTCAGCAAAGCCCAAATTTCTTTCAAAAGGTATTATTACCGAACTGAAATTTCTTACTTGGAAAGTAAAATTGCAGGGTCATATGATTTGCGGGGTTCTTGTCAAGGTTTAATACAGTTTGCCAAATCATTCTCCAAGATGGTCTTGGGACTACCCATTAGCCCCGTGGTTAAGCCTCCGCCTTTCAGCACTGGGGGCGCAGGTTCAGTCTCTGGGTGGGGGGCTAAGGCCCCACATGCTGTGTGCTATGGCCAAAACTTAAAAAACAAACAAGATGGCTTCTACCAATCTATGCCAACTTATTTTATTTCCCATTTTGGGAAACTCAAAATCCTACAGGAATCCAAACCTCATGGCTTTACATTTGAGGAAGTACATACACTTCAGGGCGCTTCCCAGGTGGTGCGGTGGTAAAGAACCCGCCTGCCAGTGCAGGAGACGTAAGAGACAAGGGTTCGATCCCTGGGTCGGGAAGATCCCCTGGAGGAGGGCATGGCAACCCAGTCCAGTATCCTTGCCTGGGGAATCCCATGGAGAGGAGCTGGCTGGCTGCAATCGTGGGGGTCGAGAATAGCTGGACATGACGGGCTGAACGCTCGTGCACACACACATCAGGAGCTTCTCATCTGCGGGCGCTCCACCAGTGATCACACCGCTCCTTCTCTCCAGGTTCACGGGCAGAAAGCTGCTTGGGAGGACCCTGTGGAGTGGGTCCGGGACACTCTTCCCTGGCCCTCAGCCCAACAAGACCAGTCAAAGCTGTACCACCTGCCGCCCCCCACTGTGGGCCCTCACAGCATTGCCTCGCCCCCTGAGGACAGGACAGTCAAGGACAGCACCCCCAGCTCCCTGGACTCAGACCCACTGGTGAGTAGAGGCTGCTGTAAGGCGGAAGTCATGGTGTCACAGAACTGAAGCCTCGTCCACACCCTGCTGGGCCCAGAGGCCAGGGCAAACACGAGGCCAGCGGTGGCAGTTCTGAACATCAGAACCCCGGACTGAGCTAAGCGGCATCACCCAACAGCAACGTGTGTGTCCGGCAGAGGCCGGGTGGGAACAGCTGGGGACCTGTAGGTGTTGGTCCTGCTCATGTCCGTGCTCCCTGGGGTCATCCTGGGGACAGCCACGGTACGGTGACTCCAGGAGCTCTTAGAAAGTGGGCCGAGGGGCTTCCCTTCCGCCTTCCCAAGACAGAGGGCCAGGTTCAGTCCCTGGTCAGGGGACTAGATCCCACATGCTAAAGCTAAGAGTTTGCATGCGGCCACTAAGACCCGGAGCAGCCAAATAAATAAATATTTTAAAAGAAAGAAAGAAAATAGGCTGAGACAACTGACAAACTACAAAAATATCTACAGTGCTTGTAATGAAGAGAATTGACACCCAAAGCATATGATCCAACCCTGAAACTTCCACACAGAACATGGACCAAGGATATGAGCAGGCTTTGACTAGAGGATAAAAACAGAAGAAGACCCTTCCCCTCTCTAATCACGGAGGGGATGCCTATGACAGGGAGGTAACAGGTTCATGTTAGCAGAGTCACACGTGTGGGAGGCTCGGCCCTTCTGCTGGAGGGGGTTTGGTCATCAAGCCGTCTTGCAGGACGGTTTAGCAGATGGTATGGACACATGCACAAACCCAAGATCTTGCACTTTTATACTGCCAGTAGGAGGTCCTTCTAACTTTAACCCTAATACATTTTATTTAAATTTGGACCTTGTAGAAAACAGGTGTTCTCTGTATAAAAAGGCTTTTAAGTCAGCACAGTGTTAATCATGTAAGCAGAAGGCTGGAACAACGATGCTTCCTTAGCTGAATGAGGGGGTCAGAGTTCTGACCTGTTGAGGAAGCTGAGGGGACCAGGGCAAGAGGTGAAGACACGCATCCAGGCCAGGCCTGGTGGGGGCGATAGGGCGGGGCTGGAGTGATGGGACGGGCCTGGGGCGAAGCAGGTCCTAATGGCACTGAGTTCAGCCCTTAGCCCCTGGGCCACAGCCTCTTGGAGAAGAGCTGTTAGGTAGCCTTGGGGACCCCACATCCTCCAGGCAGTGGCCCGCAGGTCACAGCGTGCGCTGCCCCCAGCCCGCCCCTCATTCCCCAGGACCGGGTTCACACAGGGTGGAAGTAGCCATCGCAGCCTGTTCCCGAACCGGCCCTGCACTCTCTGGGCTCTCAACCGCTTGCAAACCCCATCTTCTCTGCGTGAAGTCCCCACTCTCCTTACCTGTCTCTCTGCCCCTCTTTAGATGGCCATGCTGCTGAAGCTACAGGAAGCTGCCAATTACATCGAGTCTCCAGACAGAGAGAGCATCCTGGACCCCAGCCTCCAGGCCACGCTCTGAGGGCCCAGCGACCGGCCACAGGACAGCGGGGCGGGACATGCTGTGCTGTCCCCTCTTTCCCGCTTCCTCCCAGCGCGGGCTCTCCAGCCCCAGGACAGGAGGGGCCGTGGAGGAAGGGGCAGGTTCCTGGTGCTGCACCTTGGAGAACTCCCTGTGGGACTGGCGGGTGGACTCGCGTCCCCAGATCCATCTCCTAGTCTCCTCTGGTGACTTTGGGGAGAAGATGATCCTGACTCTTTTTCCTTGATTTCTTGTCTCAATTACAAACTCCTGGGCCTTCTGGGGAGGGGTTTAGAAGACATCAAGCAAGCCTGCAGTAGTTCCTAACTGATTCTCACGAACGGCTCAGAGACACAGCCTCACCGGGGGAAGTCTTCTGGGAGGAGGGGGCTCCTGGACCCTCCCTCGGACTCTGCCCAGTTCCATCCACTGCCAACAGCTCTCCCTGCCCCCAAGATCCGGCTGCAGCCCAGAAAAAGAAAAAAGCATGTGGTTTACAAACATTAAATCAATCTGTAAAAGGTTTAAAAAAAACAGGAAAAAAGGAAGCTGGAGGAAGGAAGTCCGGTTGTGAGGTGTTCTGCCCGCCCCCCTTCTGGACACACAGGGGATACCAGCGAGACAGCCGCCCACCTGAGACACGGCCAGACCACGAGGATGCCACTGCAGCCTTCAGAGAAATGCCGCCAGCTCTGCTCACAGCGTCCAAATTAACACACGAGTCAATAAACCCGACCTTTTTTTTTAATTTTTGTTTTGTTTCCACTTTTCCCTCCCATTTGCCTACTTATTCTCTTCTTCTTTCTCGGCTTGTTTTCCTGTATCCTCACAAGTCCGTGAATGCTCAAGCTGCTTTTCCTGGGGCTTGTCTGGTTCTTCCAAGTTGCCCTGTGGAGAGTCCAACGCCGGGCGACAGGCACCCTCAAGACGCCTGCGACGCAGCCGTGTCTGGCACCTTTTGGGCTCTCACAGGACCTGAAGTGCCAGCAAAGTATCGGGACAGGAGGGACCTCGAATCCCACACATCCTCCCTGGAGCATGGCGGCCAGTCTCTGGAGGAGAACGTGGGCCCATTCTGACAGAAGACCTCAGCTGAGCTTCCCCGTGGACTGGAGGGAAACCGGAAACTGGAAATCTCCCTCTGTCTGTGGCCTGTGGAGCCCCCCACCGCACTGTTCTGATGGCAACTGCTTTGCCTGACTGAATCCAAAACCCCTGCTGGCTTTTACTGTTGGTTCTGAACGAGCGAAGATTCACTTAGGTGTGGACACCCACTTGAGACACTCCCAATCAGAATATGAGGAGTCTGATTTGGTGGCAAAGATCTGCCTTCCAAAGGGATCCACCTTTTGCAGAAGTTGCCCTGAAGGTTCGGCAAGTCCTAATTGGACAAGCATTTGTTGGGCACTTACTGTGTACCAGTCACTAGGTATAAAGAAAGTCGTGAGCCCTGACATTCACAGTGTAGTAGGAAACATTAATCTCCACTAAACACACATCTCCTTATCTTCTGGACCCTCAGGTTCACCTGAGAAATGGCATCCAAACCACAGAAACTAGCCATAAAGAAGCCCACGATTAACTGCCCAGTGCACTGGGTTGCCTGGCGAGGCTATGGTTTGGCTCTGCAGACCAGGGATCTGTGATGCTCTTTGGAGCCCCAAGTAGCACACACTCTTATCAGAACCTACAGGCACAGTAACCACTAACCTGGCTCTCTCTGTCCCGCCAAACCAAGGAGCAGCTGCATCTGAATCTTCCTATCAGAAGAGGTTCACTTAGGTCCAAAAGGTGGTCAGATTGTTCCTCCCAGAAGCTTCTGCATTCACCTGGTGGCACCCAGCGATGACGGGTCTTATCTGCTGGAGGGGATGTCTGTTGATGCTGCTAGAGCTGTGAAGACCCCAACCCTGCCAGAAAATATGCAATTCTCCCACTGGAAGAGGCTGTCTGTCCAAGGATGGTGCTGACATCACTGCCTTAAGGTCTCTGCCGTGCAGAAGGTGGCCCTGGAGCGGGGCGTCCCAGGAAGGACAAGACGACGTCCCACCAGGTGGCCTCCCCTGGGCGCTGGTCTCCCGGCCCCGCCTTGGCCATCGCCCCATGGCTGGGCTCAGGCCCCAGCGCTGTCCCCCCAGGGCTGAGCCCTGTCTCTGTTCTCGGTGCTGCCCGGCCGGTGCCTTCTGTCCTGGGTGTTACTGGCGACTTGAGAAAAAGGAAAGGGGTGACCCCCTTCCTCCATTCCAACTGCCTCAGAACCCCTGGAGCAATGCCTGCCTCCCTGGTCAACGTGGAGACCACCGTGCACTCTGCCTGGATCTCAGCAGGTTGGCTTGGGAGGCCTGGGATTCTGGCGCCTCATCTCTGACCCCTGGCCCACAGCTCTTCTCAGCCAACAGCATTGCACTTGGCTCTTCAGCTGCTTGCCTCCAGAAAGTGGGCTCCCATCTGGTGAGGGGGCACCGCCCACCACTGTCCCTCTGGAGCCTGGACCCTGTTTCCAGTTGTCCACCTGGGCCCCTGGCTGTGGGTGACGGTCATCCCCCAGGAATCGCAGCGACGTGGCGATTGCGGCTGGCCGAGCCTCCTCACGGTGCTAGGCCCCTCGGCGCTCACGCAGGCTCCTCTGAAGCCAACACCCCCCTCCGCCCCCACCCTGGAGTGAGTGGCCAGCGCAGATCCACAGCATCCTCTCCCACCTGTCCCCCTGCTTCTTGGTTGAGATGCTGGGACCCCTCAGAAAGGGACGGCCAGGTCCCAGGGCTAAACTCGCACCCTGGCACCTTGAGAAAACCCAGCCCCTCCAGGACCAGACTGGGTGCCGCCCCCTCCCACCCCCAGCTCCTCTCCTCACCGCATCTGGCGAGCAGACCACGTGCTTCAGTGCCCAGCCCCACTTCCGGGCAGAGGTGCGACCACGGCCCCCATTTCTGGATGAAGGAGACCACCACATTTTGTCCAGTGTGTTTGTCCTCCACTCCTGCTTAGGCACCAGAAATAAAGCGCGAGGTGTCGAGGCCGGCAGAGGACGGGCTGTCTGTGTGTGTGTCTCCGGGAGCGGCTGGCTGCCGCCGTCGCATCTTCCGGGGCAGCTCGGCGGTGCTCATCTCTGTGCGCGCATCTCATCTCGGCGTCTCTGTTGTGTGGTCTGCGTGTCAGGAAGCGGGAGGTCTTGGGGGTCCCCTCGCGGAGTCCCTAGCGGTCTGAAGGCTAAGCTTTGGTTTTGAATGACCAACTAGTCTGCCCATCCTCCTTGAGGACCTAAGACAACATAGGCATTTTTTAAATTTTTTTCTTTCTTCCGCTTTTCCTGGTTTGGGCCTAATCTCATCTATTCACTTCGAGCTCCTTGCAACAAGACCCCAGGTATTCAGATGGGCACCCCGTCAGTCTCAGAAGTCACTTTATTTCCAGAGGGGGGAGAGAGCCCCCTCCCAGGAACACCTCACACAAGAGCCCTGCACAGAGGCAAAGGCTGCCTATGAGGGCGAGACTTGCGAGACCCTCTACTGCAGGGTGTCTGGGAAAGGAAGCTGGTCTTGTCCTCATTGCACATTTCACACGGGCCTCTTTCTAGGACTGACCACGTTCTCATGCTTCTTCCTTCCCTACTCCTGGGCCTTAGCTAAGCAGAAGCTAGTAGGGAAACTCTAGAAACACCCCCACCCCCACCCCACTGCCTGCGCACTGATGATGAAATGTACTTTTCCAGAGGGTTTGCTGCTGGGACACCGGAACCGTCCTAGGATGACTGGATAACTATTATACTACTGAGTTCTGGTCCATGGCCCCACCAAAGAAGCCATAGTAAGAAAATGGTTTTAGGGACACTGTTCTCAGAAGACCAAAGCCTGAGAATAATGCCCTTTATAACTCAAATCGCTTTATATATTTATGAACCCTCAGTCAACCTTGTCAGGGCCACAGGGGCCACCACCTTGGCTTGCCCACTGCCCACGTGTGCTCGTCAGCCCAGCCAGGAGCACATACTCCCATCACAGACCCTGTGGGAGAAGGCATAGTCTGAAAGTGAGGACACACACCAAGAGAAACCTGGAAGCTGCAGGATTGCCAGTCCAGTGGGGTATTAAGCCTGTACTACTGGATCCTCCCAGTTTGGCCTTTGGGTCTCTTAATGGCTGTCTGGAGAGATTTCTGTGACAGGCATGGTTATGGAAGGAAGTCAGCATCGGTCCTTTGATTCACCTCTTTCATTTCTTAAAGCAGAGGTTCTTAGATCTGTTTACAGACCACCAGTGTTGGCAGCATCTGAGGACTTGTAGAAATGAAGTTCTCAAACCCCATCCCAGACCTACTGAATCAGAAACCAGGGAGAGGGCCCAGCAAATTGTGTTTTAACGAACCCTCTTGGTAAATGTGCTTTACACTACAGTTTCAATTCACTGTGTCACGGAAAGCCAAGGACCAGAGTCCCCACACTGGAGCTTTAGGACCACGAATAAGGTTCTAGGTTAAAATTCAGACTTTAACATTAGTTTCAAGGTCTTCTCATGTATCCTCATGATTCTGTCTTTACTTTTATTTAACAAAAAGAAAGAGTATGTGTGCTTTTGGGCAGAAGTTAGGGGAATGCTTGCATCTCCTTGGAGAACACAACCTCCAGGGGAAAATGTCACAGCTCTGAGATTTCCAGGGGGCTTCCCGGGGGGACGAGGAGGGAGGGCTCCTCCAGGTGTCTCCTGCTGGGTGATTCTTCTCAACTCAGCCTTTTTCTGCTGATGGGATGAGAGCAGTTTAAAAGTCTGATCTGTATTTCCACCAGACTTGTCCTGGCAGCACCCCTCACCCTTGTCCCAGTTCTAAAGGGCACCTGCCAGAACCTTCTGCCCGCCCCGCCCGCAGCCCTGCCTGGCCGCAGGAGAGCCTTCTCAGAGGTGGAGCAGAGGGTCTTCGGGGCATCCATCCTTCCCCCAATAAAAAAAATTTATTTTAACTGAAAAGAGCTTCGTATTTTCCCAAACTCACAGATGGCGCCATGAGGAAGATGAGGTGTGTACAACTGGCCTTGTTTAGAGTTTGTCCATTTGCCCCGTGAGAGCACTTGTAGGTGGGGGACGAAGACCCATCTGGCACTGGGCCTCCTGGGGTCAGGGACAAAGTGCCTGGAGGAGGACGAGAGCCTGAGGAAGGCGTGAAGCCTGCACTGAAGTCACCCCATGGCCACCGGGCTCTCCATCTCCTGTGGATCTCCCCACATCCCTGCCATGTCTCCAGACTGAAAACGCAGATGAGAAGGCAAGGGCTCCAGGTCCCAGCCGGTCTCCGGGCCACTGCTATGGAGTGGCTTAGGAGTCTCCTGCTTCCTAAGTGTTCTTGTTTTTTGTTTCTTTAACAGAACAACCTTTTTCTCAAACAAATTCCAGCCCTTGCTGAGTTCCTTTCCTTGTCCTCACCTGTCCTGTTTTAGGCAGCACTGTTTGTGTGATGGAGTCTTTGTTTCTCAAATGCATGGCGATCCTCGGGTGGAAGGTGGACAGGAATCTTTACAACACTTTTTTTTTTTTTAATTTATTGGGCACAAACCCCCCAAACCAGGATGTGTGTGTGTCTTTGTATTTTGGTTTTTATCATTGGCCTTCCCCTTTTTCAACCTACCCCCTTTCATATCTGATGTAGAGAAAGGGAGCTGTTGTATTTATACATAATTGCGGTAACAATCATGAGCGAGCTGGGTGATTTGTCTTAAATAATAAATCGGTTGACAGTTAAATCCATCCCGGGGCCAGTGGATGAGGCCTTCTTCCCTCACTGCCAGAAGCCCCCTCACCTGGGTCCTCTGTCCATCAGGCATGTGTCCTCCCAGCAAGTCACCTGTTCGATGCCATTTGCGTTTCAATAAAGTTATCTCCTGTGTTGTCCGCTGGCTCTCTCTAGCTCCCTCTGTCTGGTTTTTGTCTTATTTATCTTCTGGTCCATGCCTTGATGGGGAAGGTCATTTGCCAAACCCAGAGTTAAGACCCACCTGCCCAGATGTCTGCTCCTCAGTCCTTACGCAGGGGTCTCTCCGTCCCCTCGGCTGGCGTGGCACAGGGACCCGCTGGCATGCCGGAGCAGCGTC